TCATTGAATTCTTGTTGTAAATAGTCAAATTCGATTTATAAATCCTTGTAAATTTTATGGGTGAATTAATAAAGAACTTAAATGCAGCAATTTACAACAAGAATTAGACTGTTTATAGCAAGAACTCAATGATTTGCAACACAAATTTAACGATTTGCAGCTCAAATATAGTAAGGGTATTTTTGTCTTCTTAGACAAAAATTTGGTCAAGGCAGTGCGGTAAAATTTTAAAGTTTTTTGAGGTTGACTGCTATTAATTGGCTATTGAGGGATTTACTGAAATTTTTTCTTAATTTTATTTAAATTTTGCAAGTCGAATATATTTTTTCCGCAAAAAAAAAAAAAAAGAATACCATCATCATAATTTTGTATAATTTCGTGGAGACCGTTTTGGCTTTGAGATGCAATAGGACGTCGTTTAAGAAAATATTCTGAATCATTTGCTACTCAATTTCATAACATACGATGAAACTTATTTTGAGGGTAAATTCGATAGTTGAATTTTAAAAACTGCAAAAGGCCACTTAAATTTGAAAATTTCCAAATCAACCATAATGAATAAATTAAAATTTTAAAGTGTTGGTAAATTTACAATATTATCTTTTATTTTTTTAAAAAAAACCTTTAAGTCCCTATCATGAGCTGGCGATCGGTGCTAAAGCTCTAGTGACCAACAATTATTTTTTGATACTGTTTTTTAGCATTCACAACATGATTAGTAACTCTTTTAATGATATTTAGAACTTTATTAATCTTATTTACCACGTGTTTCGTAAGTTTTTAATTAGGATTTTTTTTTTTAACATTCGTGACGTGGTTACCAATTCTTATAACAATATGCACAACTCTATTAACATTATTGATCATATTATACTGTATGTTTTAAAGCTTAAAGAAAATGGTAAGTGTCTAAACTTAGGAAATTTTGGAGTTGTGAATTTCAGTGCCTAACCTGATAAATTAGGATGCCTGGTTTATTATAATTGTAAATTTCATTATAAGAGTTGACAAAACGTTATAAATGTCAAGAAGATCCGAATTTAAGAGTTGTGAGTTTCAGTTTAAACATTGGCAACATTCACTTAAGTTACAGCTCGGTGCTTGATATAGGGACTCATGTATGGGAAGAAGAGATAGGTATAGGAAGACTTCTTTTGTGAGTAGATTTGCAACTAGAAAATTGTGAGTGCCGTCCCATTTATAATTTCATTTAACTAGCCATTTTTTTGGTGTATTACTATAAAGTTCTTACAAAAATAATATAATTATTAAAAATCACAAAAATAAGTTAATAATATAAATTTTGCCATTTTTTACACCAAATTAACTTATTATTATATGTTTTTTAGTGCTCACATGTAATAAAAATTGTGATCATTACATTTATTTTTTGAGATCTCACAATAATTTTCCTTTTTTTGACTAATATAATACTCAATACTCATGTGGTGTCCCCAGCGTTAGTTTTCACCCTAATTTTATACACACACCTTCCAGTTTTAAATGTACAACTCAATTAATTTATTTGCATAAATTAAAAAAAATAAGTTAAGCTATTTGTCGTTAGACTATTGTGGGTTAATTCCCCAGAGTACCATTCACTTGAGGGAAAATCCCAACTAAATTTATTAACTGAACTGCCTAAATTCAAATTAAGACCTAAATAAGGCTTAATTAAAAATTTATTAATGTTATTGAATGACTGAATGCCCCTTTTAATTAAAAGGAAAAATTGATTATTTTACTTCTCCCAAATAATCTTTCATCTCTTACGATTATATTTTGCACCAAAATATATATAAGTACTTTTACTGTGTTTATATATATGTATAACTAAAACCTTCAGAAATATTTTAAATTGACACGCTAAAATAAATTATTTTAACCTATTTTAAGAAAATTTTTATATTACAAATTTAAAATAGGTGAGTTTTATTTATTTAAGCAGCATTGGAAAATTCAACCCAGAAACGTAAGCTATAAAAGTTAATATTAAATATTTCTTGTAATTAAAATATTTTAAAATATTAAAATAATTATTTAGAGCCTGACAATAAAAAGTATTTATTTAAAGGCCACTTATATTGTAATTTAAAATGTTGTATCAAAATATTTTTGGAGGTTTTAGTTATAGATACAAATTTTAAACATTGTAAAATTACTTATATGATTTTTGTCCAAAAATAATCATAAAAGATGGGGGACGACTTTGGAGGGGTAAAATAATCGATTTTTCCTTGTGATTAATGAGGAGTGTTGTGGTTATTTAATGACACTATATTTTAAAAAAAAAATCATAATTGGGTCTCATGGCTTGCTTATGATTTCGTTAACTTTACAAATCTGAATTTGAATTTATGCATTTAAGCTGGATTTAATTGAGATTTTCACTTCATCTAATCACTTACATTAAATATTATCTAGATGCACATTTTAGTTTCATTTAAAAAACACACAATTGGTAAGGGTAATTTGAAAACAAAAATCATAAATGTGAGAGTTATTTTCATGATCAAAATAAATGTTTCAACTAACACCTAAAGAACGATTGAGTAATAAGTTGATCCATTCTCATTTGATGAAGCAAGGGGAAACGAACTTCTATAGATTTCCGACATGAAAAAAGAATTAGTGCATAGGAATCCTGATAAAAAGATACTTTTATCCACCAAATGAATCATAAATCCCAAGAATCCTAATTCTAGGAACAAAGGCAGAGTTGGATTTTTCTTTTTTTTTAATGCTGGTAAACAATCTGCAGGAATTCTGTAGAATTTCTTTTTTCAAAAAAAAAAAAGATACTTTGATCCTCATAAAAAATTTGGAAGAAGAAATTTACCGTAAACCGATCTATATAATATTTTCGCCAAAGCATATTTCCAGTATTACTGTAGAATATACATTTATAATATTTCTTTAATATAATATTTTACTCATATATAATATCTTGTTAAGATTTTCTTGTAAAACAAATATCTTGTTAAGTTTTTTTTCCCCATTTTATCAGCGAAAAGCTCGGTCTTTTTATTTTGTTAATATATTCTAATAACTTTTTGGGGGTATTTTCATCATTTAAGATTAATTCCATTTCTTTTTTATTCTAAACATAGATATCTTCTTATTGGAACAATTCTATTTAAGACATATTAGACACTAAATATAAACACCTTGTATAGAAATTCAAACATTAATTTACTACATTGTGAAGAATTAAATCTTTTTGCTAGATCCACTAATTAATTCAATTTCTATATCCCACATAACAACAAAAATTGTATAAGGACTATAGCCCAATTTATCTATTAGTCCGGCAAGTTTGATTTGCTTTTATCATCTCTGTTTTTTCTTTTTAATAAAAGAGCTTTTATCATCTCTGTTAGCAACAAAACACAGTATAAGTATCAATAAGTTAGATCTAATAAAAAAGACTATTCTCTTATAACATGACGATCCAAGATTTAAATTTTTATGAGAAGAAACGTTTACATTTAATGTTCAACAACCTTTAATAAGAGGATAGATGCATGTGGTTAGAAAAAAACACAATACAGATATTCATTCTAACAAAACGCGCGCACACAATGCAAATATAATTAAGAGGCAATTGTTATTAATCCAATTTAAATTAAAAACTATACTACTTCTAATTTTTAATATAAGACTCAGTTAATTAATTTAGAGAGATTAAAAAAATTAATAAATTACTTAATTATATAATATGCTATATGACCTCCCTAAAATTCTTATATATATTATTAAATTATACATCAATTTACAAATGAGGCAAATTAATTATTTTTAAAAATGATATTACCACCAGTTCTAATTATAAGACTTCATTTTGTAGTCTACAAATAAGATCTTATAATTAGGATCAAAAGTGGTATATGTATATTTTAAAGCAATTTAATAATTTTTTTAATCTTATCAAATTAGTCAACTAAATCTTATTTTAAGGATTGGAGGTAGTACTTAATATTGCCGTCGTTTAAAACACTCAGCAAATTTCAATCTTCTTGGGTCTCACGGAACTCGTCACTTTGATTTGAGTATTCCAAACTTATCAGATTTGGATTATTCATATATGATGTGAATGGTCCATGTTTGATTTTTTTTTTCTGTTTTTATTTGTTTAAAATAGTTATTTTAACTGGTTTATAACCTAAAATAGAGATAACCTCTCAACTACTTATCACATCTTTAATGTAAGACCTAATTTGAAAATTAATGTTAGTCCTATATGTAAGACTTATTTCACATGTTTATCAATTTTCTCACTTAAATTAATCTTATTGATATTCCCTCAACAATAATTAACTAAGAGAGAAAGGAAGGGAATTAAGAAAGAATATTAGAGTGTTTTAAAAAAATACATTCATATTAACTAATTTAAATAACATTATTAATCTATTCAAATTAATTATTTTGAGTCTTATATTAAGAACGGAAAAGTATTTTTTTAGAAAAAAATAATTTTTTCATTGAAAAACAATTGATTAAAAAATTTAAGTCTAAAGAGGTGTTTGGGTAAGAACAAAAACCATAGTTTTAAAAGTGCTTTTACAGTATACGAAGTAAATATGTGAAGGAGTTTGTCTCGATTTGCGGAAAAATACTTTTAAAAAATAAATATGGGATGCTCCAAACACCCCCTAAATCATTTAGGTTAGATTTGAATAGTTCAGATCTAATGAATTTAATTTGTTTGTTATCCAAATTGTTTGGAGGTCTCCTTTGTTCCCTCCGCACGTCTTGCTTTCATCCAAAGACTTTAATTTGTTCGCTTAAAAATATATTGCAAAATAGAATTGAATTTGAAATTATGATATAAACGACTCTGACATCACACACCAAGATTCCTATCTCTCCCCCTCAGTAAATGGTTAACAAGACATGCATGTTGTGTGTCGTGTTACGAACAACCGAAAATACACGCATCAATGAATAATTTGTAGATATATATAGGCACATTGCATAAACAATTTATCCCAAAGACCTAATAATAGTTATAAAATTATAATAATATATACTTAAAATAACAAAACTCTTATCTGGGTATTGCATCCCCACATTGGAATGGATACTGCAAACTTTCTTTCAGGCTCACAGCCATAATTCCCAGTTGTTCGTTGCAATGTAATGTAAGATGTGGCATGCACAGATAAGGGATGAGTGAAGTGAGCAGGAAGACGACGACGTATTAACATGAGAAACAAATGGAATTTTCAAAGAATGAAATGCCCTGTACTTTCCTGTTCGCCCGGCCGTCCATGGAGCACATTGTAGCTCGCCGACCGCCGCATTCCTCCTTGATTGGTCTTGATCTGTTTCTTCACATCCTCCAGAATCCTAACAGTGTACCTCTCCGACTCCGTCTCCTTGCCACTGATCTCACCAAAACCCAGAGAATGACCCGTTGAATTACACCTCCCCAAACTTCTTAGCTCTGCTGAATTAAGCTCCGTTCTACTCGCAGAACTTTCATCGAACATCTGGTGAGCATTTACCTCATTCGGAATTACTATAACGACTTCGTCGTTGCCTCCGTTGTGCTCCTCCTCCGGCTTCAGCCTCGAACGGCAAACAGGGCAAGTCACGTGGGAGGCCAACCAGGCGTCGATGCATTGAGGGTGAAACACGTGGTTACATTTCGGAAGCAATCGGAGCGTATCGTGTTGATCGAACTCGCACAAGCAAACCGCGCACTCGTTCACGGCTTTCCCAAATCTGAGGTCTTTCTCGGCGGCGGAGTACACGAGGATGGGGAACGTGTTGAGTAATTTTGGGTCGATCCCTTGAGGACCACTTGACGAACAATTAGCAGCGGGGCCAGTTAGGCCTCCGGCGCCGAGGTCCATGTTGGAGCAGTGACGGAGGAAGATGGAGATGAAGGCGACGAACAATAGGACGCAAACAAAAGCCACAAGCACAGGATCAAAGGACGGGTCCCGGTTGTGGGATGAAGCAGTAGGAGAAGCCGCCACCGGTGGCGAACTTGACTGGGCATCGACGGCCGACGAGAGAAGCAAGAAGACGAGAATATGTGAGAGTGTAATTCTGGTGATCATTCGGAAATCGTCAGAAACTGGCAATGAAATAGATAATTAGGAAGAGGGGTTATTATAGTACCATAAAAGAGAACAAGAGAGAGCCAAAATGGAATCTAGATAAGAATTGGAATGTTCAGGCCATAACTCGAAACAGTGGGTGTGTGTGTCTATATATATATATATATATGAACTGGATAGCATCGAAATGGCGCGCACTTGCGTGGTGGACTAGATATTTGCACAAAAACCAAAAGCGCTGCCACTGGTTTTGGCTTCAGAGAGCCTCTGGTTTGTCGCTATCTCGCTTCGGATCCACTTTGCTTAACAGAAAAACACTGTTAGTTTGAACGGTTGGACTAAATTTAAAACCGACGGTACCGGTTTTGTTAAAGCATGTGATGTTACAAAAAGTCAACTTAAGTAGAATTAAGCTTTTTTAATCCACGCATAATTAGCAAATAAGGTAAAGTAATATCCAGCAGCCATCTTATTTATCAGCACAATAATTTTTTTCAATGATGTAATTCTACTCATAATCTTTCAAATTTAGTGCAATCTAACCCTTTCTTATTTTTTTTATGAAATTATTAACAACTTTTATGTAAAGTAATCAAATTATAATCGTATTGGAAAAGTAAAAAAGGGGTGAGATTACACCAAATTTAATGTAACATAGATAAAATGACTAATAAAAAAGATTATGGTGCTCAGTGCACTTGAAAAATAAGATTAAAGTATTATATGAACTTTTACCCTTTGTAATATTACTTACTTTGGTCCTTGTTATGAGACATCTTCTAGATGCAATTTTCAGCCTCAAATATAAGTCACCAACTAGCTTATTAATTATTGTTTTCTGATTTTACCATTACCATTAATTGAGGTTTAGTGTTTTCTAAATGCACCAACTCCGTTTTTCATTTAAATAGGAATAAATTTGAAAAAAAATTAATTTAATATACTCTCATTTACAAAGCTCAAATAAAAAATAAATTATAAACAAAAATCAGCATATTAAAGCATTATCAGGAGATTGAATTTCACTCATTGACATCAGTACTCAAAAGGCCCCAATATAAAGTTTTGGCTGCCAAGGGATGAATATTGGACATTTGGAAATGCCACACACCTTCCCTGTATAACGAGAAAACCTAACCTTTTATGCCTTTTCTTTTTTTAATACAAAAGAGGGCAAGGCCCAACTAGAAACTAAACAGAAAGGGAATTAGAAAGCTCTCCTTTTACCCAAGGTCCCTTAGCTCAACCGGACACACATGAATGTTGAGGAAATAGACATTCCTTTATTCATTCCCAATTGGATTTCGAAAGCTCACATATTCTCATTATCAAAAGCCTTTTGGAAAAAAGCCCACTATTCAGCTTCTTGAGCACTACAAATGCCTATTTTGCAAGTGAAACCAACAATCCAATTACCACAATGATTCAAATGACTCCTCCACACGCCGTTGCCCCAGTATTCATATTCACAGCTCCATCCACATTCAATTTCATCCGTCTTTTCAGAGGATGCAGCCAACACAGGGGTAGACTAATAGAGGGGTTTATATAATTCCCTCTATCCAAAAACACAGTAAAATGCTTCCAAGTACTGGGGATAGTATTTACTAGGTTAAGGTGGTTCTCAAACTGATCATCAAAAATAGCAGCATTCCCCCAATTCCACAGCTTCCAAACAGAGATTCCTCATAAGAGATCCCAATTCATGAAGCCAACACGACCCATATCATCCTTTAGGTTCATGGAAGTCCAATCCTGTACAAAGAAGCATTAAAAAAATATGGAAATATACACTGGATTTATCAGTTCCAGCCAAAACAACCTAAGCATATTCACAATCTCCCAAAATGTGCAGAGTTGTCTCATAATCAGCTGGACAAGCTGTGCAAAGCGGGGAAGAAGAAGGCCAACAACTACGCCAAGCATTAGTGGGCAATTTATCGTTGAAAATTCCCCACAAGAAAACGCGGATTCACCAACAGTCTTTGCATTTCGAGATCAATTTATAAACAGGATCGAAGTTAGAGCTGGGATTCTCTTCAAGCAAGTAATAAGCACTTTTAATCCTAAACATTCCATCATACGTGGCATTCCACCTCAAAATATCACCAGCAGCGGCTTCCTGAGGAGGAAGAAAACCTATCAGTCTTTGAATAACATCCTTAATTAGCTTAATTAGGTGATTTTTGAATCATTTTAGCTTTGCTACTTGTTCTTCATGGACTCCATCACAAAAGCAAATATGTGTAATACACTGAATTATACCTTAGTTGATTCATGCTGTGGCATATTGAGGCCTACAGTGCTTTTTATTATCAATTTGCCTATTTAACCTACAAACCTTGACGGTTGGGATTGACTCATGGAAATCGCGGCTCAAAAATCATTTTTGCCCAACCTAACCTGTTTTGCATATCAACCGATATGAGCCTACCAAGAAGATTTGGGTGAATCCATATTATGATCTCTAACTAAAATGAATAATCTATTTGTCAGAAAAATAAATAAAGAAAAGGGAAGAAAGTGTTACAGGTTAAATCCACATTCGGATGTGGATCAAGCCTCCAAGCTTTGCAAGTTGAATAGATGATGGCCACGTAGGATTTAGACTAGCGGAGCCCAATCCAAGGTGGCACAAACCTACGAAGAGAGAAAAAGAGTGAGAACGAAAGAAAGTTGAAAAACCCAACAGCTAAAGTAAGGAGCAAGAAGCACTCCTGTGGCCCTATTAACAGGTTAGGATGACCACTATTTTTAATAAAGTACTTCTCCGATTCTTAATATAAGACCTATTTAATTAATTTGATTATATTAAGAAAGTTAGGTAAGTTAGTTAATTATAAAAAATATGACATGTTTGTCCTAAAACACTATAATTATCTTTCTTAATATCATCTCTCTCTCTTCTATTTGATTATGGTTGAAGGAGTATCCATAGGCGTAATATAAAAAAAATTGATAAATATGAGAAATATGTCTTATATTTAGGACCAAAATTAACTCAACAATTAGGTTCTATATTAAGAACCGGAAGAGTATTGTTCTTCTTATTTATTGCCAAATGATTTTTGCATGCCTCTCAATTAACAATAAAAATATTAATGCTTATTAATTTTACATTTGGTAAGCTTTCTTATTCCCTAATTTTGTCATAGAAATTAATGTTGATTTATTCTTTTATTTGATTAGCTTACTTATTTCCCAAATCAAATAATCTAACCCATAAAGAAGGGATCCTGACCTTAAATCTGACTGTGACCGGCAAAAAGGTCTCTCCATTTCCCATAGTGTCCATTTTGCTTCACTTCCCTCCAACGACGTCGTTCTCTGCTTTTTAACTTATGCTCTACACCCAGGAAAAATAACACAACCCCCTTACTGCAAACACACACACGGTCTCATTCCGCCTCGAATGGAGGGGATCTGCGGAAGCTCCTCTCAATTATTGTCTGAGCTTGCAGTGAGAACCATGCTATTTTTTTTTTTCTTTTGGAAAAAAATTATGTATACACTTAAGGTAGTGATTGGTTGGGGTTTTTTTAGGGAAGATAGGGGAAGGGAACGGAAAGCAAGAGGTAAGTGTGTTTGGTTGGAAGAAGGAGAGGGAAGGAGAGATAAAAAATTTTTAATCTTTTTTCTTACACCTCCCCTCTCAAATCGGGGTTTTTGGAGGGGAGAGAAACAATTTGCCACATGTGACAAAAATACCCCTACTATTTTTCCAATACCCTTATTATACGTATGCCACTTAAACTCCTCTTCAGCCGTTCATTCACCAAAAAATTACCTCTATCTTAACGGCGAAATGAGAGAGAGAGAGAGAGAGTTGTGTGTTATTGTAGTGAGTGAAGGGCGCAGTATTTTTATTTGGAAAAATAACACTAAGGTCCCATGAAAGATACTACAAAGAGGTCCTTTCAAACCTACTAATTACATTAGAGTCCCAAAGGGACTTGAGTGCATTAATAAAAAAGGTAAGTTGACACATATGCCCTTGTTAGAAGACACTAACACTGCAGAATTGATTTCCCATGGCTTCTTCCTTGAGTTCCTCTATAAGAAAGAGAAACTTGCTACAAATGAAGCAAAGTTGTGGAGCACCCTCCCCATCATAATTAGTCAAGTCAAAGTACCTTCCGTCTTCATTATCATGGCCAATTTTGAGGTTCAAAACTTCATTTTCTCTCATCTCCTAAAAATTTGTGGTTGGTAGAGGGGGTTTGTAGAAAATCTCTCCACCCTTTAGTTATTGAAAAGCTTTTATTTTTTATTTGCTATAAGCAAGGAAAGCAATGCAAAGATTAGTTTTTGGTTTGGTGTGTGTTGGTGATTTAAATTGGGATTTTATAGTAGGTAGGTAAGGTAATTATAGGTGCAATGTTTTTAGGTATATTTTGGGGGGTTAATGGTGGGTTTGCTCTATTTGGACATGGTTTAGTGGGAATGGATGAAAAGAATGAAGGGTGGAGTGGGTAGAAACTCTTACTACAAAATGAGAAAATATGTTGTCAATTTAGGTCACGATGATTGTCAATACAGCTGCCTGACTTGTTAATCATAACTGTCTCATGTAGTTTTATATTAAAGACAGTGAATACATGCATAAAGCATCTATTTTTTTTATATATATAGGGAGAAGTTTGTAAATGATAGAGAAGATTATATGCACTACAGAGAAGCAAGATGTGTAAGTTTAGTTTGAACATATGTTTTCTTTTCTTATTATCATTTGTTGCCATGTAAATTGTTACTGAAGTACTACTAAATTATCAATATTTACGCCATAACTTGTCATTTATTGTAAGATTAATCAATTATTTGGAAGTGCAAATAGATTATCTGTATCTCCTCTACTACTTTTTTTTTAATGAGACTAGAGAGTTACCATCAATGTCATGTGCTGTTGAAATGATGTCAATGCCTAGATCTCAAATGAATTCTACAAAATGGAAGTACATATCACAAGTTTTCATTCAAATATATCAAGAACAATCAACAAAAGATTATTGGAAGGGCAACTGAATTACACTCAAGCATTATATGATTAGTTTGATATTGGATACATTTGAGTTATGAAATTGGTGTAATTTTATTCATATGAAGTTGTAAACGAAAGTTGACTATAAACTAATATGTTATATTCTGATATTAATCAATTGTCATTATCTACCCCCCACATTGTCAATACACCTTTTGTCACTTGTTACTCGTGCCAGTTGCCACTATCACTTGTCAATTTATCTAGTAATATAAGTTTGAAAAAAATGTAATTTCAAGTTGTATAATATCATATAATATTGTCAATTCTTTCACACTAATACATTTAGGTTATAATGCAATATAACATCATTATTAAAAGTCAATTATCACTAACTGAGCTTTCATTTGTCAATAGTGGCCTTATAAGTAGTCAATATTTACAGTTTGACTTTCTAATGGTGGTAGTGTGACTTGTCAATTACGGCATTATCACTAACTACACCTTAACTTGTTAATGGTGATAGCCTAACTTGCCAATAGTGCATTGTTCCTTTTCAACTAAATGAAGAACTGTGATCCATAAAGACGCACTGCAGCACTACCAACCCAGTCAAAGAAACAGATTCAGCACCAACTAAACGAAGTCCTGGTTTTCTATCTTCAATCAATACGTAGATTACCGATCGAGCTAAAAAATGGAATTGCACAGGATTCATTGAAACTTAGTAGAGTGCTTTCAGAGTTCAAGGAATCGTAGAAAAGGGAGTTTCTAAAGAGACAACCAAAGCAGTTCGTTCTCCTCGCTTGAGATGGGTCAGTCCTGAAGCCAGTCCATCTCATGTGATCCCCTTTCCATATCACGAGGAGGAAGTGATCGGGGGAATTCGGTTCTGTTGATCAAACACCGCGTTTTGGCAATGTCATGTCAGTTCCTTTAGCACAAGACCTTTTTCACTTATTCATTCACCATAGCTTGAACTAGATCCGCACATATAAAACTGCTTAAGTTTTGAAATGTCATTTAATTAACATAAATTTGAGAAATACATTCTAGTTATAATGTGTTATATAATATGATATAATGTTTATATTTTCAATTAAATATAATTCAATTACAAATTTAAAATTAATAATTATTTTAGCTATCAATGTTCCCTATATTACTTGCTAACATTTGCACCCTAAGTTGTTAATAATAGCTCTATCACTTATTAATTTTCCTGTTGATATGTCATTTTGAAAAGTATTTTTCTTTTTGTTTAGATAACCAAACAATATGAAAATAGATCATATGTGAATATGAAACTAAATAATAATATTATGTCACTTATCAACTTTCTTTATACAAAATGTGTTGTTGACCACTAAAGCATCACTTCTCAATAAAGCTACTAACAATTGTCAAGCGTGGCACCTTAAATTGTCAACACAATCTAATCAACTATTTTTCTTCATTCTAACATTTAATTAATCAGATATAAAGTATACCATTTACAACAACAAGTGACATAAATAACAAATGTGTCTCTTTTTTTCTTGCTCTAACTTTTGCCTAGTAGCATAGACAATACACTTTGTCATAATGCAAGTTGCTTCTATGAGTAACAAGCCACTATAGGCACTTCCAAACAATTGATCAATCCTACAACAAATGACAAGTTATGGTAAAAATATTGACAATTTAACAATAATTCAGTAACAACCTACAGGGCAACAGATAATAATAATATTTGTTCAAACTAAACTTACATATCTTGCTTCTCTATAGCACATATAATCTTTTTTATTATTTACAAACTTTGTCCTATATGAAGAAAAAAAAGATAGATGCTTTTTGCACGTTCTCACCACCTTTAATATAAACCTATACGAGATAGTTATGATTAACAAGTCAAACAACTGTATTGATACACATTCTCCTACTTCGCAGTAAGAATTTTTACCCACACCAACCTTCATTCTTTTCATCCATTCCCACTAAACCATACCCAAACAGAGCATATCTACCATCAACCCACCCAAAATATATCCAAAAATAGAGCGCCCATAATCACCCTACCCACTCACAATGAAACCCCAACTTAAATCACGAACACATACCAAACCAAAAACTAATCTTTGCATTGCTTTCCTTGTTCATATCAGATAAAAAACAAAAACTTTTCAACAACTAAAAGGCAGAGTGATTTTCTACCAACCACAATTTTTTAAAAGATGAGAGGAAATAAAGTTTTGAACCTCAAAATCAACCATAACGATGAAGACGGAAGGTGCTTTGACTTGACTAATTATGATGGGAAGGATGCTCCACAACTTTGTTTCCTTTGTAACAAGCTTCTCTTTCACATGGAAGAACTCAAGGAAGAAGCCATGGAAAATCAATTCTACAGCGTTTTGTGTCTTCTAGCACGGGCATGTGTCAACTCACCTTTTTCATTAATGCACTCAAGTCTCTTTTGGACTCTAACGCAATTAGTAGGTTTGAAAGAACCTTTAATGAAGTAACTTATAAATAGGATTAAAAAAACCTTCTCTCTCTATCCTATAAATAAAACCAGAAGAGTATTGTTTTATGAACCACCATAACCTTGAAAACCAAAAGTTATTTCTATGAAGATTTATATTAGGGGCGTTCATAATGGGACAAGGACATCTCATATATTTTTTTTAAAAAATTAAAATTTTTTATTTCAAAACCAAATATATTTGAAGCATAAAAACTTATAGTAAAAACTATATAAAGAAAATAGATAAAATTTGGCTAAAATTTTTATAGTAATAAAAAATTAACAAAAAAAAATACATTTTTAAAAGACAAAAAGTATATAAATTCAAAATATTTCCTAAAAACATCATATAACTCATACAGAAAAACTTATAAATGGTCAACAACATAATCATAAAGATTATAATATTTTTATATTAATGATAAATAAAATAAATTTATAAAATTAAAAAAAATAATATATTCGAACAGAATTAGGCTGGGATATCTTTGTCCCATCATGATACATTTTTATCCCCGTCTGCCTTTGTCCCGTCTCAAAAATTTTTAGAACGGAATTTTTCCGTCCCAAAATTATTGAGACTGGAATGAAACGTTGGGATATAACACAAGTGAATACTCCTAAGATATAGTATGTAAAACTTCCTTAAAACAACATCACCTTTCAACAATTAGTAGTTACCACACTCCACCTTTAATGAGATGTTTGTAGGAGCTAAAAAGACATGATCTTAGTGGCTTTTAACTTTGTAACTCCCTGCTTTTGCTCCAAAAAAAAAAAAACTTTGTCACTCCCTGCACAGCCTTTCCTGTCAAAAAACGCATCTCTTTTTTCCAACACAATTTAACTCCACATGTTTCATACATGGACAACTTAAAACGCTGACGGATGATCAAGCTATATATATGACCCCTAGATGGAGTCATTAGACCGATCATCGTGATCTCCAACACAAGAGGAGGTTGGTGGAATTCGACAGATAGGGCAAGTGTTGTGTAACTTGAGCCATGGATCAACACAGTGAAGATGATAAAGATGGCCACAACGAGGAAGCAACCTTAACATGTCTTCTTCTTTGTAATCTGCCAAGCAGATGGAACACGAAGAAGAACTAGAAGGATCTTCAATATTGTTGGGATTATTATTATAAGAGCTTTTCCTCATCTCAGAGTAGGATAGCTTGGGAAAGCTGTTGATAATGGAGTCGTGGAGGCCATATTCTGCTCCGGAGGAGAGCTCCGCCGTGCCAAAGGTGTTGACAGGGTTGTTGGAAAGCCGGCGAAGGCGGATGCAGGCAAAACAGATGGATATGATTACGAAGACAGTGCCAAAGGTGAAGCCGGCGGTACTGCCGTCGAGGTTCATCTGTAGGTAGTAAAGCCAGAGGAGACTGGGGATGGATCTTTTGGGAATTAACAGCAGCTATATAGGTCAACATTTTCTTGGTCTTCGAGCTCTGTTTATTTGTTAAAAAAAATTAAAAAAATATAATTAAAGACCTAAATGTTAAAATATTTATGCTGTCAGCACTCACGTCATCTTTCTTTACTTTTTCTTTTTCATTTTTTCCTTCCCCTCTCGCGCTCACATGGCATCACATTTCACTATTCTTTTTTGTTGTTCCTGCATACTCTGTCTGTGGTCCCACATGGACTCTGGAGCCACGAATTTCGTTCTAAGCCTGGGTTCGTTTGGTACGAGGTAAACAGAAGGGGGAGAAAATTAATGTTTCATTTTAAAATCCTATTTTTTTTAAGTTTTTAAATCAAGCTCATTAAAATTTTTCCTTCCATTTTCTTTCCTTCATTTTTCTTATACCAAACGGACTGTAAGGGTAATTTCAAGATAACTTTAGAATAGATTTTGATCAGCAACAAATTGAGAGATGTTTGTATGTATGATTTTTGGTAGTAATCTCATTGAAAGTATATTTTACTTGGCGTAACAATCTCGTTGGCAAGAGAAATATGGGAGAGCTTGAAAGTAAGTTGGGAGAACCACCAATTTTAGGTAGAGGCAGTCATGGAATATAAAAAATGAGTGGGGACATATTAGTTTCTTTGTCCTTTTTTTTTTAGTCAAATGTTGGACATACTATTCTTTTCTTTTTTAGAAGAGAGAGGAGGGAAAAAAGACCCCCCAAGAAAAAGTTGTCTCCCTTCTTATTAAATATGGACTATCTAAATTTAAAAGTTTTCATTGATTATTTTTTAATAAAAATTTTTTTGAAAAAAATGACACTAAAGAGATCATTTTTATTTTAGATTCTATACCCCTTAAAATAATTTTTAAAAAATAAATCTAGACTGTTCAGATAAGATTAAACAACCTTAATGTATTTAAGTATTTCATTACCCTTGATTAGCACCCAAACTCATCTCCTCTAATTTGGCTAGCCACTTCTCTCCTATCCCAGCCCCTTCTTCCCCGTAGAATATCAAATTATAAGACAACGACGAGTTATTAAAATAACGTATAGTATACCCTTATTATAAGGTAATAAATTCAAAGATAAAATTGTGCAGAGTGGTAAATTTTGGAATAAAATATGGTGTTTAAATTTTTAATATTTGGAGCAGCGAATTATAAAATAGAATAGGTTGTTATCAATTATCAGGATTTTAAATTACACAAGGTCAGGGATTGGCTAATAAAATCATGTGTCATTTATATATTCCATACAATAACGAGAAATTTTAAAATAAAAATATGTTTTTCTTCATATTTTAATAAATACGAGATAATAAATAATAAAGTAAGACACGTTATTATTATTATTTAAAATGAAAAGAATTATAAATTATCAAAGAGTAAAGTAGAACTCAACAAACGAATCTTTAAGTGCATCCAACACCCTAATATTTTTTATGGTGCAATTTTACCTTTAATGTTTTAAATTTAGTTCAATTTCACCCAACCCTAATCTGTTAAGAGGATAGGATACATGGGCATATTTTAAAAACAAAAACAAAAAAACAAAAGTTCCACATAGACATTCAATTCCACATAGGCAATTAAAAAAAAACTTTCCAAGCCATTCACCTCTTCGGACTTGGGTAAATTAACATGGAACTTCTCTTACTTTAAGGTAAGAAACAGTCGATGAAAATAGCTTAAATGCTCAATTTTGGACTTGCTGAATATCTGGATGTAATCAAAGTAGACAACAAGAAACTTAAGTTATCTTGATCTGATTTTTTTTTCATTGCTTTCAAAAAGTTTCAATATAAAACAACATCCAATTACTGACATAAAAATTTGTCAAAAATTCTGTTAGAAATTTTATTTTCTGATTGAATTTTCCACAAAAAATTCCGTTGGAAAATTTTGTTGGAAATTCGTGGCAAATTTGTTGGAAATTTTGTTAATAAATTTAATGACGAAATTTCTAAAAGAATATTTTCTATGACTAATTCCATTAGAAAATTGAATTGCTAACAATATTTCTGATGAAAACAAGCACTTAGGAGGTGTTTGGGTAAGATCAAAACTATAGTTTTAGAAGTACTTTTACAGTATACGAAGTAAATATGTAGAGAAATTTGTCTCGATTTGCGAAAAAGTGCTTTTGAAAAAGTGATTATTGGGGTATCCAAACACCCCTTTATTTTATATATTCCCACTAAATTTTGTTCTACAAGATGATTTCACAAGGAGAAAGGCATTCATAAGTTGTGATAGAAGCTCTCCAAGTGTGCAATCTGATCAGGAAGAACTTAACTTATGATAAGGTTATCACTACAAAAAAATATGTTAATTCTAGCGGTTATGGTGTTACATTTCTAGCGGTTTTAACCGCAACAAATAACATTTGTAGCGGTTAACGAAACCGCTAGAAAAACAGGTGTTAGAAAAAATTTCTAGCGGTTATCTCAACCGCTACACATCATGGTCAAAACGATAGAACATTTCTAGCGGTTAGGAACCGCTAGAAATTATCTGAAGGAGACACATTCCTAGCGGTTACAAAACCGCTAGAAATTTTTTCCGGGGAAACGTTTCTAGCGGTTTCAAAACCGCTAGAAACGTTTCCCCGAAAAAAATTTCTAGCGGTTTTGTAACCGCTAGAAACCTGCTAAACGGGAATTAAATAATTTCAGTAGCGCGCGAAAATTACTAGCGGTTATAGAACCGCTAGAAATGTTTGGGAAATTAAATTTTCACACCAATTGAATTTTTAGAATGGCGGGAAACTTTTCTAGCGGTTAAGAACCGCTAGAAAGTTTGGCGCGAAATTTAAATTTCACGAAATATTTCTAGCGGTTCTGAACCGCTAGAAATGTTTACCGTGCCAGAAAAAAAAATTTATGGTTTTTCATATTATAATTTTAAAAACCATTAAATAAATTATTTTGAAGAATTTTTGTTAATTTGTATAATTAGTTATATGTTACATTTTATATATTCAAATTTTGTAATAAAAAATATGTAATTACATTATGAATGTGTTAAAAGAAGTGAATTTAATCTAATAAGATAATTTAATTGAATATTTAATAAGATAGTTGAATTAAAGATGATATATTTTGGAATATTGAACCTATAGTATTAAGTTGATGAGTATTTGAATCAATTGAGGAGGGCATGACAAATGTGGAGAAGAAAAATCTGAAAGGAAAGGAGAAATAAATATGTTAGTAAATTTTAAATAAAAACAAATAAAAGATACAACGAATTATAAAATAAAATTCACTTACCATAGAGTAAAGAGAGAAAAACCACAATATGAGATAGTAAGAAAAAAGAGAGAATTATGAAGAAGAATAGGAGAGGAAGGAAAAGAGATGGAGTAAATGAATGTAGAGAAGATATGGTATTTATAGAGATCAGCGACACATTTGTAGCGGTGTTTTTGTAGCGTTTTATAACTTTTTGTAGCTGTTATTCATTTTGTACCGTATATAAAAGCGCTAGTAATTAGTAGCGGTTACATATGTAGCGGTTATTACCCGCTAGAAATTTAGTATTTTTTATTTTTAAAATCTGAACGAATTATAATTTACAGGTATGTATTTTGTAGCGGTTCATAACCGCTACAATTTTTTTCACGAAATTGTAATTTGTAGCGGTTATGAACCGCTACAAATGAAAATTTTTTTATTTTTAAAAAAATTTTACGAATTTTAATTTATACATATGTATTTATGGACGAAAAATTTGTTAAATAATTTATTTTGGATGCTGCTACTCTCCATCATCATCCGGCCTGAAAGGACATATTTTAAAAAAATTTGTTAAATTTATGTTGTATTTGGAAAAAATTAGTAATTAGTAGTTAATTATTTAAATAATTTAAGAAAAGACGTGTACCTGATAAGTGGCAAATTATCATCTCCTTGAGGAAAGAAGTCTTCAAAATTCGAGGGTTGGAAGGGTTCACTGTCGTAAATAATGTCACCATCACCCATATCGTAAAGATCCCGTGGCTTGAGGTGAACGACCATATTCCAGTCTTTATGTTTCTCGTCCTCGACATAGTAAATTTGGTGTGCCTCAGAAGCAAGGATATATGGCTCATCATCTTCAGATGCCCCCGTATGAATAAGTCTTGAGAAATTGACTGAGGTGATGCCCAAATGGTCAGTAGCGAGTCCCCGTGAAGTTGTCGTATTTGCCCAGGAGCATTTGAACAGTGTCACGGTGAAAAGCTGGTAAGTCAACTCAATAATGTCAATTAGCTTTCCATAGTAAGTGACGCCTCCAAAGCGCATATCGCCATCACTACTGCTAGCATAACATCTCGTTCCGAATGTCCCGCAAACTCCAGAGTTTTGTGTGAGCAATCCCTGATCACGTGCAACCGTACAGAACTTGAAGCCGTTGACATTGTACGCGGTAAACCTTCGTGCATGGTCTAACGGACCGAGAGAAAGAGCTCTGAATTCATCTGTGTATGGGCTGTTGTCATTACGTATTCGACGTGTAAACCAACTGGGAAACTCTTTGTGGACTCTTTTATCAATGTCAGCAGAACGCGCACGGCCCCGTAGCTGACGCCTGAGATAACTCCTAAACTCACTATAGTAAAGTGTAATTTGTTAGAAGAGTCAATAAGAAACAAATATAAAGTGTAAAAGCTAGTGAGCTTATATGATATATATACTTACTGCATGAAGGGTTCAACTTGGCTGCAATTTATCAAAACGTGTCTGTGTGCCTGGAGTTTCTCTGTAGGAGTGAGTCTGAAGAATTCATATCCTCCAACTGGTTTCCCAACAGGAGGAAATAAAGTTGACGTTGAAGGACCGGGAGGAGAATCATCTACGCGACGCGGGCGGTTAAAAGATGTCTCCATGTCATCAAAGTACCTCGAACAGAAAGTTAGGACCTCATCTCCGGAATAACCTTCTGCTATTGACCCCTCA